TTAATTCAATCATGCATTATGTAGTGTGTGTGTGTGTGTGTGTGTGTGTGTGTGTGTGTGTGTGTGTGTGCGCAATTACATTTAAATTTTATTCATTGACAAATTGCTTTTTGCAAATTTCACTTCACTGCAAGACGAAACTTCCTTATCTTTTGGAAATGTGATGGGCGACACACAGTCTTTTGCTTCACACGATTCTAACCTTAGACTTTCTCATCAATATGCAAATTACAGAATAGTCCCTTGAGCTCACCTACACCGTGCACGTTGCTCGTGCTCGTGGCTGCGGCACCTTAGGGCGGTTTTTGTTTGCGTGTTTCCCCGTCCTTGTGCTGTCTTCTTTCCAATATTGAATCTTCCTTTTCCTGATAAGGGATCCCGTACTGTGTCTTTCTCTCTCTCCTTCCTCCTTCATTCTTCCTCCCTCCCACCCTCTCTCACTCCTTTTCCCTCCTCCCTCCCTCCCTCACGTTTCATCGCCATGACAAAAGAAACGAACGTCTTGACACGAATAATTTATGCGAGGCATTGGCAGGAGCGAGATGTATGACAGGGCGAGGGAGTATCAGGGACGCGACCCTGAGTTCTCTCACCCCCCCTCGCGCACACACTCGCGTGACGTGACAAATGAGGCTGTTCGCTGTATCGATTGCTGCCAACGGTAAACAGTAAAACGCGTCCTCCTTTTTGTCATTGGAGCGACACGTGACACCCATCCTCCGAAAGCGCCCATGGTATGGGTGTGATTTGGGGTGGAAGGAGGAAAAGGGAGGAAGGAAGAAGGAAGGAGGAAATAGGAGGAAGAAGGAAGGAAGAAGGGAGAAGGGAGAAGGAAAGGTAGGAAAAAGGATGGAGCGAGCGAGGAAGACCAGAAGGAAGGGGAAGGGGAAGGGAAGGGAAGGGAAGAAGATCGAGAAGGCGCAGAAAAGGAAAGGCAAAGGAAGACAGAAAACTAGGAAGGGATTTATAGGGGTTTGTGAGTGGATTTTGGTTATGAGGAAGGGAAAGGAGAATGGCGTTGGCTGTGATGAATGTTATGCGGGTGTTCAAGGTGATGCAGCACGGCGAGGGGGGGGGGGGAGGAAGAGGAGGAGGAGGAGGGAGAGGAGGAAGAGGAAGAGGAGGTAGAGGAGGAGGAGGAGGGAGAGGAGGAAGAGGAGGAGGAGGATGGTGAGGAGGAAGAGGAGGAGGAGGAGGAAAGAAGACGTAGACGAAGAAAAAGAAGGGGGGGAGGAGGAGGAGGAAGATTAGATGAACAAGGGGAACGAAAAAAGGAAGGAATAAAAAATGAGAGGACAAAAATAGTCGGTCAGAGCTGAAACAAAGGCACAGCGAAGGAACGAGAGGTAGAATAACAAAGGGATACAAGGAAAAAAATACAAAGGAAGGAAAAATAACATGAAAAGTAGTTAAGAGTAAACCGTAACGGCTGGTGCGAAGAGAGAACGAAGCAATGAGAAATAGAGTAAAAAGAGTGAGAGTAAACGGTAAGAGTTAATGGGAGAAGATGCTCTGGGCGAGGATCCCCCCTTGTGCCTGGGATAAGTAAAGCATCATCCCTTTGATGTCAGAGCAAGACGGGGATTCCATTTTTTCCCCTCCCTCTTTCCTCTCCTGCCACGTAAATTGTTTTATAACTTAATGCATGTTCACACTTTTTAATGAGCACGGCATTTCAAAGGCAAATGACACGAATAATGAGAAGCTCCCCCGGACTGCCTTTTATTTCCCTGCTTGAACACTGCTTGGTAGAGGCATGTCGCGTGCTTTTTATGCTTTTTTTTCTACGTTAAACCGATGCTCGCATGCTAACGGTTAATAAGCTGTGTCTGGCTACTTAATTATGTTTATGAAGGAGCTGGAAGTTGCGTAACTTTATATTATCCTTTCTATATATTTTTTTTTTGTAGTGAGTGTATGTGTGCTGCTTCACTCGTTCTGACGTAAGTAGTGTTGTCGAGGGTTAGGGGAGGTTCGTACGGTCTAGAATTACGAACTCATTTACGGTAAGTGTTTGTACGCGTAGGCCATTATTAAAAAGGGGAGAGGGCGGGGGAGAGAGAGAATGAGTATGGGAGTGAGGAGAGAGAGAGGAAAAAATAAAATGAGAATGAGGAAAATAAAAATAAAAATGAAGAAAGTGAGAATGAGAGAGTAGAGGTGACAGAAAAGCGGAAATGCAGGCTGACAGGCAGGCAGGCAGGCAGGCAAACAGGCAGACAGGCAGACAGGCAGGCAGGCAGGCAGGCAGGCAGGCAGGCAGGCAGGCGGGCAGACAGGCAAATCTGGAGGGACCTGCTTCCGTATGGCTGTCCTACTTTATGCAAAGCTCACCTTAATCTCCCGGAGGTCTTTGTCTCCAACAGTTTCCACGCCCATATTGCATCCTCTGCTGTGCACCATTGATACTTCTCATCCTATTTCTTGTCCCTTTTATCCACCCCTATCCTTTTTCATTTCACATTAACTAGGCGTGTTAACACCTTTTACAATTCATTTCTTATCCTGGTTTTATTTCCCTTTCTCCCAGTGTCCCTTCCCGCCCTTTTTCCCCTCGTATTGACTAACTCCTTCCGTCTATGCATGGCTTACTTCTCTCTCTCTCCTTCTATCCTTTCCTCTCCTAACTCCTCTTTCCTCTTTTCCTTTCCTCTCTCCTTTCTCATCCTTTCCTCTTTCCTCTCTCTCTCTCACTTCCCTCCCTATCTCCTTTTCTCTCTCTCATCTCTCTTCGATCCCCTTCCTATATCCTAATTCTTCTCTCTTCTCTCTTCCTCCTCCTCTCCTTCATCTCCATTCTCTGATCTCTGCACCTCTCTTCCCTTTCCTCCTTTTCACACCAGCTCCTTCATTCTCTTCCTTTCTCCACTCCGCCATCTCCTTTCTCCCTCCTGCGTTGAAAGCTTCCACGCGATCCTGCTCCGGCCTTCCTGTTTTGAACTCGCGAGTTGTTGTGAAGGTTTCGAAGAGTTGGCCAATAGCAGTAGAGCAAAAAAAAGACTCTTGATTTGATAATAAGATAAAAAGCATGCGGACTGGTCTGAAAGCTGGTGATTGGATGCTATTTTTTTTTTTTTTTGGTTGTTTAAAGAAAAATAATGAAGGATTTAGGAAGGTATTGTAGTTTTTGAAAAGGGTTGGATGAAATTAATTTGATAAGTCACAGCTATTTTTTTGGTAGCCACGTTGCCAGCGAGATGAATTTGTGGTCATCGGAAAGGCTTTGTCAAAGAAATATGTTCGGCCGTGTTTCAGCGCGTGCACTCGACATCTTAATTAATTACGTTCGCTTCAGTGTTAAATTCAGACGTAACGGGATTGTTTGGCCGAATTTCGCAAAGACAACGAGCCGCATGCCGGTAACATCCGCGTCCTTTTATTCATATTGCCTTAAAGCAACCATGTCCATTCTTGCATTAGCCAATTTACACGAATTTGCACCAGTTTGCCCAGGTTAATGAAATCAGGAGCCTGGCTTTTCTGCACATGTCGGAAACGCAACGGTGGGTTGGATATTTCATTTTGCGGCGGTCATATTCGCTGCCAAAAGTTGCAAGGTAAAGCAACACCATGTTGACACACTCTCTCTCTCTCTCTCCCTCTCTCTCTCTCTCTCTCTCTCTCTCTCTCTCTCTCTCTCTCTCTCTCTCTCTATCTATCTCTATCTCTATCTCTATCTCTATCTCTCTCTCTCTCTCTCTCTCTCTCTCTCTCTCTCTCTCTCTCTCTCTCTATCTCTATCTCTCTCTCTCTCTCTCTCTCTCTCTCTCTCTCTCTCTCTCTCTCTCTCTCTCTCTCTCTCTCTCTCTCTCTCTCCCACTCCCTCCTTCCCTCTCTCCCCCTCTTCCTTCTTGTGTCTCTCCTATTCGTCTTCGCCTTAATCGCCGCGCTCTCACCCACCTCCCTCTCGCTCTCCTTCTCTTCGCTCTCTCTTTTCCCACTCTCACTTTAACCTTCCCCTTTCTTCCTCTGTTATTCCCCCTCACCCTCTCTCCTCTACTTCGTTCTCTCTCCTTCCCTCTCGTAAACTCTCCTTCTCTCCTTACCCTCTTTCTCTCCCCCTCACCCTCTGTTCCTCTCTATCGCCCTCGTTTTATTCCCCTCGCCCGCTCTCCCTCTCCATCCCTTCTCTACTTTCCTCCCCCCCTCTCTCCTGCCTTTTCACCGTCTCCCCTTCCCTCTCGTCTTCTCACCTTCACCCTCACCTCTCCCCTTCGCTCTCGCTCTCCCTCCTCTCGCTCCAACAACACGACCCCCCCTGCTCCACCGCATCCACCTGACACAGACTAGGCTCTCCAGAGGCAGTATTTAAACCTTTCGCGCTGCATAGCTTAGCTTTTGTCGTCGTAAGCTTATCTTGTTTTTACGCCGTCTTCGTGTCGTCCTTCTGGCTGCTTCTCTCGAGGGGGGATATGTATACACGGGTTAGCTTCCCTGTCTCTTGGTTTTGTTTTTGCTTTGTGTTTTCTGGGGGTAGAGGAAGGGGCGAAGGGGTTGTCTTTTCACTATTAGCGTTATTAAGTCAGCTTGTATATATGTTTATGTTTCAGTTAGTCCGAATTATCTTCGATTATATGAGAGTTTGGGCATTTCAATGTCCAATTTTCTATGTTTAGAAAAAAAAACAACAACAGCAGTAACAGCCCCCCCCCCCCTTAAATAATAAACACAGGTAAATATTTAGGGACGCAAGTAAATCCTCAGGGAGCAAGGATGTAGTACGCCTCTCCTCCTTAAGAAGACCGGTGGGTAAATATTTTGTGAGGAGGCTTTGCGGGGGATGGGGATCTGTGGGAGGATAATATATTTTCTTGCGATTTTTATTTGAAATGATTTGCGTTGTTTCTTGTTTTTTTGTTGTTTTTTTTTGGTAACGATCGTTTTTTTGCGATTTTTATTGTTGTGTGTGTTTGTGGGGATCCGACATTGAGAATGAGTGTGATTCGTTGGAGTTGGTGATTTGTAGTATTTCGTTAGTTGCTGTTTGCGAGAGTGAATTT